TGGTGAGTAGTGGAGCAGGCCCCACTGGACGTATTCGTAAGAAAACAAAAACAAAAAAACGAGAGAGCAGAATGAATCTTCTGCTGAAACATGAAACCATACACCGCCATATGCTATGTCTTTTGTGCATCTGGTGAGTAGTGGAGCAGGCCCCACTGGACGTATTCGTAAGAAAACAAAAACAAAAAAACGAGAGAGCCACGGGCATCTTCATCCTAACCCATAACTCCCGACATGCGGACCTGAACGCCAATCTTCAGCATATATTGGTGGTCGGCTGGCAATAGAACATGCAATTTGCGACTTCTGCGAAGCTTCGCGGGGCAGGTCATTATTAGGCGACTACCCCTTCTTGCGAACTGATCCCACGACTGCGTGGGATTCGCAGAAGGCAGCGGGAAGGACAGCCCTCATACCCCGCCTAAAACAAAAGTTGGAATAATCCCTATTTTGTGCCTCGCCATTCAAAACTCTTTGGGGAAGGGCCTGCACAAATCGAATTTTCAGCAGCCCTTACCCAAAAGAAAAGTTCGGGCCGTGGGCGCGGCCGGTTTGTGAACTTGCGCGGTGAGTTTAACATTTTTGCCGAGTTGGGGGCCCTAAGAAATTAGAAAACCCCTACTTTTTTTTTTTTTTTTTTTGGACCTAATTTTTCAAGTGCGCTGCGCTTCGGTGCGCTGTGCGGTGCGCGGCGCGACGTGCGCAAACCGTGCGCAAACCAGCGCACCGACATGCGCCGCAACTATGAATCATCAAACCAACTAAAATCCGCAGTGTTCGGTGCCTGATAGTGTGTGTGGCCCTTCCAGATAATCAATGGTTACTGGAATGAAGGAAATGATTGAAACCCTAACAGTTTCCCTTTCTGTGTTGTGTGAGTGAAGGAATATCCCTTTGCTTCTGAAGGCCAGCATTGATGTGGCCTGTGTTATTCTCTATTGTGCCAGAGTGATATTGCTCTTGAGAGTGAGGTGTTGGGAAAAGAGACAATGGGTTGGTCATAGGTAGAGAGATAGGTGGATGATTGCCGAGGTGGCGAAAAGAGCGAGAAGTGCCCGGAGCTGAAGGGGGAGGTGAGACAAGACATTGAATCAATTGACTTCGAGTTTATTCTCCTCTTACGACTCTTCTTCTCCTTTGTCTTGACACTGGTATACTTCGAGCCCCAAAAACGGCCACCTATGGAAAATGTGGTCGGCTAAGTGAAGGCTGTGGCAGCAAAATTATGTCGGCCCTCAGTGAAGGCCGGCGTGTTGGAAGGGAAGGAAGGACCCCAGCCTCTCCACAACTAACCAGTAGGGAAGGCCGGGACCCAGGCCCCGACTGAGATGGTTCTTAGTCCGCCATGCACGGCCTTTGGATAAACAAAAGGGAGGAGGCTAGGGCATTCAGTACATTCCGAGGCACTGGCTGCCAGCGCCAGCTCTGCTGGAGCGCACATCGGGCCAATGAGTGCTCTTTTGAGGAAGGAGGTGAGCAGAAGCCACAGTAAGCTGCTCCACCCAGCACCCGCCATAAGCTGCTTCGTCTATTGGCAGCCGTAAGCTTGTTATGAACATGATTGTCTGTTGAAACTATATCAACACTCACTCACAGGAACTCCCCTACACGCCCATACATGCACAGAAGGAAGGGGAGAGGTAGTGGAGTATCACACCGCCCAACAGAAAGAAACGCAGCGGAAGACTCAGAGGAGCGAAGTGACAGAAAACACAAACAGTGAATTCTCTCCACACTGGTCCCAACAATCATTCATAGAAGACAACCGAGTGATCACAGCCAGAAATCAATGAAGAGATGACAACTCGAGCACAGTATTATAACTGTTTATTAAACTCAGAGCATCGTTTTCACTGAATAACCCCAGAATCCTGTTGCGCCACCCTCAGAGGGGTAGCGCCTCAACCCCAACACCCTGAACAGCTAAAAATAGCACCGAAACCCCAGGTAACACCCAGCGCCACCCTGACATCCAACTCAGTGGCCTGCGCCAAAGTGAAACAGGCTCCCAGAGCCAATCGCCACCCAGATGATGAAGAAGAAGCTCAGCCCCAACAGTCCCTGATGAAGATGAAGTCCAGACGATGATATCTCTGAGAAGATGCAGCTATGGCTGCATCGCCACTGGAACCCTACTCATGAGGAGGGTCAGCAGTGCACCACGTGCTCCAACGCATCAGACCTCTGATAGCCCAGACCGCTTTGACTCCCAGAGAGTCAGAGCGGACAGCGTTGACCCCAGTCTGGTCAGCGCTCCGAAGGTCTAGCTATGTCCGCCGTCTCCACCACGGGAATCAGCAACCACGACCTGATACCGTGTGCGCAGCAACTTCCACCACGAAGTGTCAACTGCCAAAAGCCCAGGACCGATGTCCCCATCCTATCTATACCCTAGCACTAGCCTAGACCGACCTAGACCGGACTGACTGACCGACCGGTACCGTTTCTGTTTCGGCCTCTAGGGCCTCTCCCTACCCGGCTATAGGCTATAGGACTGTCTATCAGCGTAGGCCCATAGGGCCTGTCTGTCCTAGGGTCGCCCGGGTCTGCTATTCGCAGTTAGGGTAGCTGTAGGAAAATCGTAGTACTGGGCCCATATTTCTATATTTGCAGATATGTCCCTCACGAATTTTCCATACAGGCAGGTCTCTCGGTTAGTCCTCAGCCAAACAAAATTGTGAATCTACCCCTGACCATGGTACAGCCTCGTCAGAGTGAGGCTACAGGCAACCTGGAACCAGCAAGTCATTGCAAGCTGCTCCGCCTATCGGCAGCCATAGCTGCACCGGGAGAGGAAGAGGGGTGGCACTGTGTCTTGGAGACCAGGCTGGAGGACAGCGGTGGGGACTGGCGTTACTTACATGGTGATCGCCAAGGAGCAGGCTGGCTGTGGTCAGTCTCTGCAGCATTGCTGGGAAAGAGAATAGTGGACAGAGAGAAGTAGAAGGTGTATAGAGACAGAAGGAGAGTAGTATAGGCAGTCATATCAGAGTAGAACTGCTACATTGTTGTTCGTATTTATTACTGGAGATGAGAAGTCGGGCTTTCATTGTAAAGAGGCTTCGTTTTCTGCGCGTTCTCGGTTTGGTGTGCTCTCAGCTTTGCAATCCTGCTTTCCGACTTTGCCCGTGTATGCCTGTCCTGCTTCGAGTCCTTTGCAGCTCAGAAAATTTGAGTTCCCATTCATTGGTTCCTTGCCTACCGCTTTGTGATTGCCATTCATTGAGCTTTGTGGGTTTCATGCGTGACGATGATGACTTGTTAGTGTGAGCTTCTCGGATTTGTGTTCATGTACAAGTGCTTGAAGGACCTGTTTCTGTTTTCCTTTTTTCCGTGTATCGGTGCTGACAGACACAGTGGCATGAACTGTGCTTGTCGTTATGAAATGAGGCTGTGCAGGTGCCCGGCGGAACAAGATCCTTGCTCTGGCAGTGATGGGATGGTGTGTTCACAAAAGTGCACATGTAATCTCCTTAGCATTACTCTTCATTGTTGGAGTCACTGCTGCAGATCTGCTTCACTCGATGTACAGTAAGTTCTGCTTTGTTTTTTTTTCGTTCTGTTTTTTTTTTTGTTTTCCTTGTTGGTTTTTAGTGAATGAAATGCTCCATGTCATATGCACTTCCAAATTGATCAATGTTGTCAGCCTCTTTTTGGTAAAGTCCAAGGTTGCATCCCTGCCGACCGCCGACCCCGAGCGCCGACCGTATTGTAGCCGACCAGTAGGGCCGACCTGTCAGAAAACAACCATCACTGTTACGGACTCCGCCAGGGCTCGATCCCTGGTCTACCTTTTGCTGTTTCAGCTGCATCCCGTTTTCGGCCTGGCACCCTTTTTCCAAACCCCTCCTTTGGTACCGTAGGATTTTGGACAACTGGCGCCATGCTGCAATTCGGGCGCCACTTTCAAATACTGCATTTCGGGCATTTTCAGTTCTGCCCTCGGGGCCTTTGCAGAAATGCCCCTAGTACAGTACGTGTCACCGGTACTTATACCGGCTCCCCGTACGGTACGGGGCCCGGTCTCGTACCAGTTCCCTGCTGCTGTACTCGTACTCAGTGTGACTTGCTGTTTCGGCATTCGGAATCCAAGACTTCGACTTTGTGCCTTGCCACTGTGTCTGCGTCCGATCCTCAGTCCGAGTCAGT